GCCGACCACGAAAAATTAGACCCACCTATAAAAACTAATTCCTTGGATTAAATGTCATATTTTACGTTACTATGGTTTAAGTAACAAAACGGTTGGAGTGCAGCTTTATGCTAATAAATGTGGGTAATTTAAGGTGTAATAATTGGTAGTCAATTTTGTTGTCCTGTGGTCGAGACGCTTCCTTAAATGACACCGTCTTTTTGAAAAAAAATTGCACACTATAGTTCGTATTACACATGTTGAACATTAAATTAAATGCCCTTTGTCTAATTTATTTGATGTGTTAAAGATATAATACATGGCCATATAGAATGCTAATCTACCACAACATGTTTCGAAAGGGTTTATAATCTAAAAGGTGGGAAGTCGATATCTATAACGTCATTGTTGGGAAATGAGTAACTCAATATACGAGATAAGGTCGTGAAATAACGGTAAACGAACATAAAACAGCTGTTTCAGCGCGATAAGGGAATTTACTGCGATATTATATAAAAATGCTAAATATGCCAAAATTGAGACACAAAACAAAAGACACAAAGAAAAGAAAGCGGTGCGATGACATAATAAAGCTATTAATTTAGTGAATTAATGAATGGGAGGGGGAATCAATATTAAAGGGGGAGGTGAGATAGAAATGGGGTTGAAGTTGAATGTCAAAAATATTTGATGACGAAGAGAGATACAAGAGAGCGAGAGAGCGCAAACTCCAGAACTCAACTGAGAGACAAAACTGACGTAATCGTTCGGCAAAGATAGAGTGTAAGAGAGAGAAAACACAAGCAAACAAAATAATTTAATGAAATGAAATCATTCAAGGCAAACAACCCGAAAAAACATCAATGAAAAAACAATTTAAACACTTGAGCGGCAACCACAATTACTACACTACTAACCTCCATTGTTGTTGCTGTTTTGTTTTTGTGACTTTGTTTGAGCGTTTTGTTCACCGTTAGCTGCCTTTTTGTTGTTGTTATTGCACTGTTTTTGGTTTTTTGACACGCACTAGAATTTTTTTGCTTTTGATTTTTTTGGGCGTGACACACGGGAATTACAGAATGAAAACCACTTTTATTGACAGAAGCCCGCGTGTTTGAAAATATTCTTATCTCCCGAATCGCACTAACAAATTGCAGCCAGCGCAATTGTTTAATTGCTAGTAGTTAAATGCTAACTGACGAACAAACTTTATTTTGCAAAATAGTGGATATATCTATATGTGACCGTTGCGCCATGATACAAAAATAACAGCCAAAGAAGTCTACATTGGTATGATTTCACAGTTATTGTCGTACGGTCACACTTGGCGCTCTTTCTCAAACCGGGCTCAGCAGTGTGACCGCCGTTTACAAAAAAATAGTTGCCTCTTGTAAATTTAAACTTTTACAAAATAAAAAGATAATTGTTATGTTATTTTATAATAATAATAAGTATTTTATTCCTTATAAGCTCTAATTTTCAAATAAGCCAAATTTGGTATGTTAAAATAAATTCAAAGTGTTGATTTGTTGTTGTTGGTGGTGGGGGTGTTTATGTAGGAGAGCAATAAAAGAGAGTTAAGAAATAGAAAAAGAGAACGTTTTGAATGATCTGGAGTTTACAGTTTGAGAGCTACTGTTTTAAGCGAGCGCTAAACTTTACAGCCACTGGAAATTCAAAGTGGATACGAATACTTAATAATACAAACTAAAATCTTTTTTGCCATTTTTGTATGTTTTTATGGGTAACAAGTAAGTACAAATTTAAATCCAGTTTTTTTTGTCCGTGAAACATTAAGAAAACATATTCATAAATTAATATGAATAAATATTATTTTTCAAATAAAGAACAAAATAATTACTACTCATAAACGTAGGCCCGAAAAACCCATTACCTGGTGCTCAGAAAACTCAATTTCGTTAAAACAAGAAATGACAAATTTTCCATACGGGTAATTTTTATGGGCACAACATAAAATTAAAATTATCCAGAATGCACGCCATAAATCAAGCGGCTTGCCCCAAGAATACAGATGCGACCATTTTCCGTTCTGCATATCATTTTCATTCTCGTTTCATTTTATCAACTTTTCTTGTGTAATTTTTGAGCGAATTGCGTTAAATTAATTAGGGTAGTGGTAAAGGGAGGTGAGGTGGGGCGAAAGGGCAAGGAAAAACTTGCTCGGCATTTCCATAAACAACAATAACAAGAGGTGCTGCATACTTTTCAAGAGGAAATGGCGGACGGTAGTGGGTTACCTACACGCGAAGAATTAAAATAACCCTAAAAAAATTATTTAACAACAAATTTAGAAAAATATAAAAACTTACAAAATCATAGTATTTTAATAAATATTTATTTATCGTTGTTACAGAATATTACATCAATAATTAAATCATTGTTATCTATATTTAATACAGATTGTTTTTATAATAAATGTATTAATATATAAATATTTCGTCTATATTAGAGATACAAAAATTACATTAAAATCGATATTGGTATCCCTAATTTATATTTTTGTTTTACGGTGTATGTGGGTCAGGGGGCGTGGCAGCAAGGGCAAAACGTGATGAGCAGACAAATAGAAGACGTCATAAAAATGCCATTGTAAGTAGTTGAGCTTTCTTTTTTTTTTGGCTTTTGTTGGCATTGTGACAGGCGGGTTCTGTTTTTTTTTTGTTGGTTGTTGCCATCGTTAGTTGTTGTTGTTGATATCCTTGCAGGCTGTTATCCTTATTGCTCTTGTTGTTGTTGTTGCTTTGGCAAATCGACAAAAGGCACGCAAAGAAGGCAGAAACTCATTTCACTTGTGTCGAAAAGATAAATGCGAAGCGCTTAAAAAAGCAATTACCGCATAAATTGCTCTACAACGCGGTATGGCATATACCCCCTCCACCCACAGTGAGTTCCCCCTATAGTAAACCCCCTCTTTGCTTTATGCTTTTTGTGCACAGGATGCGGCGCATAAAACTTGCTACAAAAGACAGTCCTTCCTCGGTGGCTTTCTCACAAAACAAATGTTCGCAACACGCGAAAAACATGCAAAATGCATTGAGATCAGGGGAGGGGTGGGGTGGGTAGGGTAGGTGGCGGGGTTTTGATTGAGGGGGAGTCCGGCTTAATTGAAAAATCAATAGTGGGCCTCGTCCTCACACCCCCTCACTAAACTCGCGTAAATCAAGTTAAAAATCGCAGCAATCAAAGCACCTGAAGCGCAATAAAAACTCATTAAAACGAGCCCTCAAAACAGGGGAAAGGAGGTGAGAATGTACTGGTAAAAAATATTTATGCCAAATATTTATTTAAAAAAATCGTTGGTAATTAAAAAATATTAAGGGAGTTCTATTGATAAAGCTGTACATTCAACAATTTCCCAAAAATTGTTTTATCACTAAATACCTAAAAAATTAATAAGAAAATTAAATTGTTTGACATTAAAAGGTTTCCTTTTATTTTTATAAAAATTTTACATAAAAATGTTATAATTGAAATGTGTTATTTCCGGCTGTTACTATTTAACTTTATTTGGGAATATTAAACTGATCTTTCCTACCATACTGATATCATATCATATCGTGAAATTTAAATGTTTTAAAATGTTTTCAAATTAAACAATGGTGATATTTCTGCATTATATATATATATTTAAATTTTCCCAGTGTATTAGCAGGATCCAGTGACGATTGGGGGCCAGGTGCGTTGTCCGGACTTTAGACTCCGGACTACGGTTACAGCCACGGCCGTACTCCGAAATTGGATTTGAACAAATTACAACACATCGATTTCTCATTAGGGGAGGGGAAGCCAAAGGAAAGCAGGGGAAATGGAGATGGGAAGCTGCGACATTTGATGGCGACAGAAATCACTTAAAGGGAAAATTTAATTGACTCGACTGCGGAAGTCAGCTGCCAATTTGTTGGCCATGCCCACTGGCACAGGAAATTTCTTCGACTTCCTGATTTAAATAATAACAAACTGTGCCGATGTCTGCTCAGTTTTCCCCTCCCCCACGGCATCCTGTAAGTCGAAAGTCTTGCTTGTCACGCCAACTGACGGCAGGGAAGCCCCCTCTTCGCCCACGCCCCTGTTTTCCCTTTGAAAGGGGGCCACACAAGAACATGATTGGCGTCATCAGCGAAGGATCTGCAAAAAGATATCCAGGGGGTGTCAACGTTGGTTTTGGTCAGCGTTTGCCTGCCGGCTTAGTTGAGTGTCAATATTTGAGCGCCTCCTGTGCGTGGGCGGTATTTGTGAGGGGGGGCGTGGCAGTACAGGCTATGGCAAATTAAAATGTTTGCCTTATGATGCGGCTGAAAATACAAACATGACAAGGCGGAAGGCGGGGCAAACGAGAAAAAATTTGGTGGTTGTAGATTTAGGGGGCAAAGTTGGGGCAGGCCCTTCATAACATAAAATGTCAGATCGATAGGAAATACTGTAAGCGACTAGACTGGCAAAAACCCAGGAATAAGGGATTAAGGAAAGATATTTTATAAGTTTTATATCCAAAACAAATTGGAAAACATATATAACAGCAGTCATTTTTATTAAACTATATATCTACATATACATTTTTGATATATGGTATGTTATAATAAGTTTATTTGACCAACATTAAAATACTTAAAATGTAGCCATTACGAACTTCAAAAATGAGTATAAATTCCGAAGCTTCTTTGCAAGAATTTTCATTGAAAATCATCCTTTTAGCCAACACTTTCCCACAGCGATTTTGATAAGATCACCATTCAGTTAATTCCACTGATTTCTTAAGGATGTGCCAGGATGTGCAATGCCCACCGCCCTCACCACTTGTTTCTTGTTTTTCTGCCTGTTGACTGAGAACTCTTTGCATTTGTTGAACAACAATTTCCGGCACGAAAAGTACGAACGGAATGCCGAATGCCCGACCGAAGCGAAGGTTCAACTGGTGAGGCTCGTCCGATTCAGGACGAAGGATAAAAGACGAAGCAGGAGCCACGAACAGCGACTGCTATAAGATGCGGCTTCCATCGGCCAAAAACCGGAGTCGCGTCAGCAACGTCGAACTGAAAACAACGCGACTTTGGCCGGAAGAAGCCACAATCGAAAGTCAGACAACGAAATATTACGCATACGCCGCGTTGAACCGAAAAGAATTGCAAGTGAAGTGATACGAAAAAATACGGAAAAAAACGTTTACCTCCTTGGCTCGTTAGTGGATTTTTTTGTTGCCTTTTTGGGCAGTTTACGAGCGGCTCAGCATAAATTGGTAATGTGTATATCTTTTTTTTTGTTTGGAAAGGGGGAAAAGATATTTCTCATAAAAGTGCGTGAGCGCAGAGTATATGTCCATGAATGGAATCCCAGCCGAGGAACTTATGAATGAAGCTGGGAAAAAGCTGGGAACACTTCTAGTGATTTATGCCGCGAGTTTGTCTGGCATTGTTGCTTTAATTATATGACTGCGAAACTTCCCACTTTGATGTGGGCATTTATGAAAGCCAAGCACGCATAAATGCAAATGGAAAGCCGCAGAAAATTGGACATGTGTGTGTGGCGGCATAAGGCATACGGATAATCCCCGAAACACCGCAGGGCGTTTAACACTTCATTGACTTTTGTGGCCCCTTTTTGACTCACTGACTGACTGACTGTCAACATTCCGGCGCAAAGTTTCATTTGCATTTCGTGTGCGCCGCTAGTGAAAATTAATGGCCGCAATGCCTCGGCAAGTTTTTCTTTCTCGCCTTGCCAATTTGTTTTGGCTTCGAACGCTTTAATAAGTTTGCCAAACGTCGCAAACTTTCGCCAGGGGCAAACATTCTTGGCCCCAACTCCTTTGACAACCTTTGACCCTTTTCCACACACACGTGTGCCCAGATGTGCGTGGGTGTGTGCGTGTGCGTGTTGCCATTGGTGTCTGATCCTTCGGCTTTGACATCTAATTTACGAAGCGTTCTCGAATCCAAAGCAGGCACACATTTCCGCTTCAAGCAACAGGCTGCAACTTTTCTCGGGAGACTCGTTTATTAAGGGGTATCACGTAGTCGTTTGGTTTTATTTACTACCGCTGCTAAAGTAATAGTGGTGTTAAACAAGTTCAAAAGCTTGTGACCATTGTGCAATAAAACAACTTTTTATGCTGATTAAATGAATTGAAAATAATATAAATAACATTCCACAATGGCGTACATTTGCATAAATTCCGAAAGTTCTGAAATGTTTTAAATTGACATGAAAGCCTTTTGAAACTGTTGATTAAATAGTTCAAATAATATGTTTCATAACTAATTGTAATTTCTAAAGCTTTTACTTTAAATATTACACCCACTTATTTCATACTCAAGCCATTAAAAAAGTTTACAACAAATTAAAATAAAAAAAAATGTTAATAATCCAAAATGCTGCTTACTCACATCGTTTTTTATTTATCTATATTTTATTATTTTGTGCTCAACTAAATGTATGCTGCTAACTTTGTTATTACTTCCGTTTCTCCTAGACTGGAAGCTAAAAATAAACAGCTTAAGGAAAAAAAGCAAATCCCACTGGCCATTTGCTACCAACTCTCCCATTTATTTTCACCTCCTGCCCCTTTTCTTTATTTTTTTCTGTTGACCTTAAGTTATGGAGAAAAAGAGGCGGCTCGAGGGCGTGGCAGCTGCGTCACATTCTTCAGCTTGTTAGATTTGTTGCCCCGCCGAAACTTTTTTAATGAGTTTCATAATCTTTGATGCGCTTCGCTTTGTTTCAAATCCCCGCCCCTTTCGAAAGTCGGCCTAATGATGTGCTAGCCATGGAATGTGGCAGCGGCCTTTTGAAAATTGTTTTTCTTCTTCGGGGAGGGGGTGGTGAACTTAGGACATAGCCTGGGGTCGAGGACCAAAACTTATTCAGCGAGTGCTACGGCTGCGATAAGCGTTTAATTGAAAAGGACCCCATGATTTTTGGGGCGCAAAAAGGATTCCCCCTGCGATGTCCGTTCCAGGTCGCCGGATGCCTGATGATTGCAGTTGGCAGTTTGCATTTTAATCCCCGAATGCAGATGGGAAAGCCTTTGACCTGCCAGCAAACTCATGACCGCATATGCCTTTTTTAAACCAAAGCTGGAACCGTTTAGCATGGGCCCACACTCAGGAAAATGTCTTGAAATTTTTAAATTTTCTATTCTAGGAGCAAAGATTTTCTTTATTCAATCATTGCCAAACAAAATTAAAAACAATAAAGTAGTCAAGTAAAATGCAAAAAATGAAAATTATTAAATAAATAGATATTAAATTGGATTGTTGGATTATATTTTGACACCAGCTAACAAAGAGTTGTAAAGTTAGAATAATTAAGTACAATTTGTAAATTTAAAAGTGGCCATTAAATTGACAAGTTAAAAGAATTTTAAAGTGTAAATTTATGAGAAAACAATTAAAAGAGGTCACTATTGGTATAAAAAATATTTGTTTTTAAATTAATTTCTGAAGAGGCCAATTAAATCATTTGAAAAAACTCAGTTCAAATTAAATTTACATATTATTTCAGGTGTTTGTGGGTACTTTTTGCTCGTGAATTCGGTTCGTTTTTTCCAACTGGGTTGGAATTTTATATAAATTATTCCCCCACTAATTGAGAGCATTTCGAGTGGATTCGAGTGGAAGTGGAGAATTCAGAGGAAGGCTTTCAAAAAAGGAGAAGATCGAGGGGCAAGTCAAAGGGTCAGGTCGAGTGGCATGCATTCCGAGCACATGTTGCTCATGTGGAAAGCCCCGCCTTTTCCATTTAAATCTGGGAATCTAATTCCCCTTTGTGGGCTGTTTCGTTTCCCACTCAGCTTAAATTTCATTTGTTTAATTTCCTCGCCACGTACTCCTATTTCGAGCCCTGTGTTCTTCTTGGCCAACATATTGGGCAACATGCGGAGCAAATCTGCAACAATGCTGGAGGAATAAAAAGTTGGTGAAGGAGGGTAAAAAACATCAGTGGCATCTGGCAACAAGAAATGCAATTGTGCAACACATCCGTGCATGTGGGAGTCCTTGGGAGATGAACATCTTCAGTTCTCTTCGTCCCTTTTCGACGGCCCACGCGGCGTATGCGTAATTTGTGTTCTGTTCTCTGTGTCGCAAAAGTCGCGGGAGGGAAAATGCCAGGCGAGAACTTTTTTCGTGTTGCCAAAAGGCAACTGAAGAAAAAAGATTAAGCCCATCATGTAATTTACGCGGGAGAAGGAGGAACAGAAACCAGGCAACGGATTTCTCGTCGGCCAGAGATAATCCTTTGTCCAGACTCCTTCTTTATCTTTACTGAGATTTTTTCCAGTAATCTTATTGCCATAATTTAGATAAGTCACTGCTCTGAATACGCTACATTAAATATATTCATATTCCTTGTTTCTATGGAAACAAGCTTTTCTGTGTTACAAATATGATCTTTTAAAATACATAACTGAAGGGTTAGTTTGCTACTGTAAAAATCATAGCTAATCATACAATAAATAATGGTGAATATTATTATGTTGTTTTTGGAAAGCAAAATGGTTCGCTCTGATTAAATATGTTCTATTCCTTAGTTTTATCCAGATTTAAAGAGGCTCTCGACAGTTTTGCTTAAAATTTAACCTTTAGAATTAAGACTTATTTTGAGTAATGGATTTTTAAACTCAAATTATTTGTGTTTAGTTTCTAATTGATTCGTTAAATTTTGGCAAGGGTATCGGTGGGTTTCTTACTCCAATTTGTCACTCATTCATGATATGTTTCTATCTTCTGGTTTTTCCTTTTTCTGGTTCTGATTCTTGCTCTGTTTTTTTCGCCCCCAGACGTGCGTGATGGAGCGATATGAATAATCTGCGCGTTATTTCCATCTGCTTTTCACTCACGATTCCCCGTTCTGCTTTTCATTGCAGCTGGTCCCCATATAATCTCCACGCTCCGCTGGCCATATCCCATTTCCCATTTGCACGGCCGTAATGAGGCAATGAGACGAGGGGCAGCCGGAAAAGCAACAGCGGGAAAATCCGCAGCGGAGCCATGACATCTGGAGTCTGCCGGAGTCTGGAGCTTTGGCCTCTGCCCGAGTGAAAAACCTCCATTCCAGCGATGCTGCGTGATATCTTTCTGTATTTAGTTCTAATCGTTTTATTTTGCTTCATTTTCATGGCGCAGTTAATCGTCAACGTTTACGCATTCCAACGCCAGCCGTCGCCCCACAAAGCGGAGCGCAATGAAATTATATTTGTCTAGAAAGGAGACAAGCACCACCCACAGAACCACCCAAAAGACACGGAAAATAATGTTTCAAGAATGATATTTCAATTTAAAATGTAACTGATACAAAAAGAGTCACAAAATCAGAGTCATTTATAGACAGAAATATAAAGGGCTAAAAGTTTTTAGAATACATTTATATTAGTCATGAAGAAGACTGTATCTTCCAAACCATATAGAATACATTATATCGCAGATCTCACCAATATTAATTTTCCAAAGAAAATATACATAATTTTAAGACGGCTCCAAAACCAAAGACATTTTATCCAAAGTAATGTAGGGTTATAAAAACCTACAAAATAGGTAACGGTAAGCCGAAAATAATTTAATTATTTTAAAAAACAATTTTTTAGCGTATAGATATTATCAAACAATAGCCATTTTAATTGACGAAATCACCATTTAATAATGCATAACTTGATAATAAACCATAGTGTTAAGTAATAGGTCCAACATTTACTCTTTTTTGCTGTGCACTCTTGAGGGCAAAAAAAAAGAGGTTGAAAAATGAAGACGCTACAAAAGCAAAGGCTACAAGTCAAGCCGCGGTGGTTTCCATTTAATAAGAAAAGGAACTCAACTAGGTTCAACTCTCAGTCGAGTGAGAAAAGTGGGAAAAAGCGCAGGGAATGAGGGGGAAAATGTGGAGGAAAATGGTGGGGTAAAATGGGATGGGGCGGAGATCAAAGGGGGGATCACCGCAGGAGGAAGATAAACCCTCGAAGAACTGTTAAACTAGGTTGCGCGCTAATTAGTAACGGTAGTCTTGGGAGTGCACAATACGCACCACACACCACTACACACAAAACACACAGGAACACACACATTCACTGAGAGAAAATATCCCTACAGTATGTGATTTATGTTTCACAACGTTTAACAACAGAATTAAATTTAGAATGAAGATTTCATATTGATATTTAATATTTGTATGATCTTTATTAAATTTAAATCGACTTTACATATTTTTTTGTTACAAAATATATAAGAAACTGATATTGTTATGTTTTTTCCTCTGCATACACAAAGAAAGTTTTCCACAGCGACAAGACTCTAGGGTAAAGGCATGGAAAAACCACTGAAAAATCCCTACCAGCAGGAGCTAAAGAATTCAGTGAAGTTTCCATCGCTAAAGAAAGAGCGGAAAAAGCACAAATTAATTTCATAATTTTTTACATTTTTTCATTGAACACTTTGTTGCCCCACCACCTTTTGTTTGTCTTTCATTACACTCTTTTTTGCTGCATTTTTCCAGCAGTATATAAAATTAATTCACATTCTGTTGTTAAAGTAATTGATTGAATGTGACACCGGGAAATTGTAATTTAAAATTTTTATTGCCTACTTTCTGGGTAGTCTTTAAATGGGGTGATTTAATTCCCAACAATTGAAAAGTGCTGGCTGGACTTTTGTATTTTTCTTTTATCGATTTCTAGCCGCACTCGAGGCGGCTGTATTTCAGCCTTTTTGGGTTGCTTTTTGTTCAATGGCTGTTTTTCTTTCTATATTTTTTTTTTGTTGCGCTTTCATATTTTTCGCTTGTTTTTCTTTTTGGCACGCCGCAGCGCGTTTTATTGTTTTCTTTTGAGCCTGAGCACTTGAGTCCTCGAGGGGCATATACACTCTTGACCCCGTTTGAAAGCGAGCATTGAAACTTTACAATAGGGCCCGGAAAAAATGGGGGCGGCCAAGGAGGCGTGGCCGGGCATTTAACTCTTGGCGGGGCGGTTTAACTTGATTGCTGTCAGTGTGTCCAAATGGAAATTAAAGTTTCATCAAACGCTCAAAGCTCTCTAAGCGGATGTGGGCCAAGTTTGCCAAGAGTTTTCGAGTGGCTTCGCTGAAAATTTAAATTTAAATTGAAATTTAAGCTGAGGAACCGCACTACCAACACAAGGACTCACATGCAGACACACACACAGACCCATATCGAAGATGAATCAAAATGTATTAATCGAAAAATATAAAGTTTTACAATTAAAGAAAAAGCTATTATAGTGGAACATTTTACGAGTACGGTTATATACTCTACTATACATACTTAGATATATGATATATACATTCGAACAATAATAGTCTTAGTCGTCGATCGATAAGTGCTAAGCAGCCCCAAAAAGATATTACACCATAAAATTGTATCGAACTTGTAGCTAGATCTAAACAATGAAATCAAAGAAATCGAAGCGATAATCGAAATAAATTAAATAAAGTGAATAAATGTTCTTTGGAGAAAAGAAAAGTTATCAAAGACTTTCATTTGGGGGAGGTAAACATTTCTAGTAAAGTAAAAGGTAAGACAATCCAATTAATTAATTCTGGCATTGGTCTAATTTACAACGTTTGAATAATTAAAAGCAATTAATGTTGGTATAGCTAAATGAAACTATAATCATCATTTATTAAAGCAAACAACTAGAGTTAAATTATTTTAAATGAATCCTTTAAAAGACAAAGAAAATTCTTAAGCAATTATTTAATGCACTGCGGTAACCGCAAGGAAAGTCACCAATTGCCTCCGAGCAATTCATTTTCAATTCACTTCCATATTTAAATAATTAAAATGAGTCTTGCATAATAAATGAAGAAAAGCCGAAAGTTGCATCTAATTTGAAATGCATCCATCCCGCAGGAGCATCTCGGATTCCCTCTCAACTCTTTCAGCATACATAATTAAGGTTAACCCCACTTAGCCCCGCCTTAGCTTAACCCCCTGGGCCTGTCCATTTTTGCGAAATTGAGTGACCAGTCCATTAACGTTCCCCATTTACATTTTGCAGCCCCTTGAGAAAGTGTTAAATGGCACTGGGCAATTGGCAAGAGGAGAAATGAATACATTATTTCAGCCATTTAGCTGAAAGGAGCGGGAAAAGCGGCAGAGATCGCTTGTCATGTCACTGAGTCCTCGGACAAAACTTTTGGCTCTCAGCCAAAATGCAAGAAGAAAAGCTGCCCACCGCCACCCCATCTGCTTTATTTTCCTTGTATGCAACAAGCTTGTGCCGTCCTCCTTTCCTCCCATCCCCTCTCTCTCATTTTCCTAGGTCCGCTGCATTTTCCCTTTTGCCACTGTGGCTTGTTTTTATTGCATGCCAAGATGTCTGAGCTTTCAAAAGACCAGCGGACATGATGAGCAACAAAAACAAAGACCAGGGGCGTTGGTCAGGGGGAATTTCAGGGGGGAGGTGGGAGGCCAAAATGCCACCGAAATGGATTTTTGTTATTGTTATTGTCGCTGGTCTCGTTTGCTGAATTTTATTGCATTACAATGAACTGCGCCTTGACCAAATTTGGTCAACAAATGAAACGAAATAAATGGGAAATTCAGCCGAAAAAATGTGCAGAGAAAAAAAACAATCGAATTGTGAAATATTTGTTGAATTGTGCAATTTAAATAAAAATACCCACCTATATAATCAATTTTAATTATTCCTACACAAACAAATTATTTTTTCAAAGCGCTGACCTTTAGAATTTGTATCAAAAAACTTTAAAAATATTTATTTTATCAATTTAAACAAAAACCACCAATATAAATTACATGCAATATTTTTATTATATAAAAATAAATAAAATTGAATAAAAAGTATATGCAAATGGGTTTTTTCTCAAAAGGCCTGTAGTATTTGCAATTTTTGTTCTATACATAGGAGATAAATAAAGAAAATACGAAAAATTCGGCCATATATAAAATCTGGAAGGCAGAACCAAAATATGAGTTGGACTTATGGCAAGATCTCCCATCGAAAATCGCTTAAAACGGCCGACAGTCAATTTTTCACTTGGCATTGGCCGACAGCTGTCGAAGGTTGGGGAACAATCCCAAAGAGTGTTGCGGGAAAAATCACAGCAACTGAATGGGCAAATGGACAACAACTCACAGTATTTATTTAATATTTATTTAATATTTATTTTGTGTCATTCGCCTGCCCACTTTGATCTGTGCAGCGACAAGTTCTTTGCCAAAGTCAAGTCTGCTGAGGAAATTATGCGCGGAAATCGAGGGGGCGGGCTAAGGGAAAAGGAAAATGAGTCCTTGTTCCACCCAATTGACAAACGAAAATCAAAACTAATTAGACGCAAATTAATGAGCCATGCCACAACAGAATCACCAAGAAAATCAGCAGCCGCTACGAGAAGAAAAACAAATGTGATGAAAATGCGATGTGAAAATGTGAGAAGCTGACAAACAATTTGGCAGCGTGGACAGCTAAAAGGGGGAGGGGCTCTTCCCACCCCCCTTGACCACCCACTTCCCTGACCTTTCAGCTAAAGAAAAATTGGTGGACTATCAAAATAAACCAACAAACAAAAGAGAGGTCTTCATTATAGCTCCCTTAAAATTGTGAATTTAACTAAAGAGCTATTTCTCCAGAGAGAAAATTAGGGAGAGAATACAAACAGACGTACATTAATAAAGAAAAGCATACATATACTAACACTAATATAACAAAAACACACACTGCCAGTGAAATAGGAATGGACCACACGGCGTATGCGCAATTCGCTTTGGCATCGTGCCAACGCTCTATACTTGGAGATCAACGGAAAAAGTTGCTGATTTTTTGCCAGAAATTATTTATAACTGCTTGTTCATGCACAATCACAAATACATTCGGATCGGCAGCTATATGTACAAGTATCTGTGTCTTATTTTCGAAACGAATCGCTCTTTGCTCTTTTCCCAGCTGTGTTAACTTGGCCAGCAGAAATGTGTATATGCTAATTCTAAATATTTTCATTAGATCAGTTGGAATCGAGTTGGAGTACAATGGAGCGAGCATATGAATGGATCAACGCATTGTTTACTTAAATGAATGAATACCAAACTTACTCGAGAATACTACAATTTGGGCATGGATATGTTCACAAGAAGAAGATTGCTTACCTGCAAAGAGAATGCAAAGAAAAGAGCGAAAATTAGTTGATTATATATGATTATATATATGTAGATAAGTATATGTATTGTATGGATGAACGGCTGCACCAATAAACAAATAATTAAATTGATAAATAGCTATTAAAATATTTTTAGGCATCATTAATATTATTGATTCTATAACCGATTTACCCACATTCTTTGTATCCCCAATCAATTTAGGCACGTTTCACGGAAAAGTTTTCAACAAGAAATGATTACAAAATCACAAGATAAGATAATATAACACTTTTTTTTTAATTTTTTAATGGACATATTTTAGGTTAATAAGATGCTTTCAGCTTACAACAGTTCCGCAAGAAGAAATAAACAAATATATCTTACACTAATTCAAAAAAAGCTTTAGGTAAATAGCTATTAAACTATTTTTAGCAAAATAAAATTGTTGAGAGAATAAATTAAGGCTTGTTTAATTTGTCTAGTCCATTTTATGGTGGAATGGGAAATAAACATCTAAATAAATGTCATGAGAAAAATAATTTTACGTTTGTACATTTTATAGAATACATTTTTGAAGTGTATTTTAAAAATAAAACCGAATCGATGGACGGAGATAAAGAGTGGCATATAAAGATCCCAAAAAGATAAAGGTTGCAAGAGTACCAATTAAATTAAATTTAATTAATCTGGACTTATTATATTTTAATGGCGTTCAATACAGCGTCGCTTGTCTCGTTTTATTCAAATTTACGCAATTTATATGCAAAGTGGATGCTGGTAAAGAA